GTAGCTGGAAAGAAGACCCAGCACCAGTTACTTCCAGGGCTGATGCTTAAATACACCTTGAGTCAGGAGACACACCCAGAATCACTTAACGGAGATCTGGAATTTCTGGCAAGATTCTGCAAGAACCATTAAAGATACTGGCAGAAATCCTGCGAGTAATATCAGGGATTCTGTGAACACCGATAGCACTACTGCAGGTGCTATAACACTGGCATTTTCCTCCCTCCTGCAATGTGGGCATCAGTAAGGGGGCAACCGCACATGTGGCAAAGAGAAGCAGCTTTGTGGAACCTTTTGTCTAGTACTAACCCTAGACAGAGCAGGATTTGAAGTTTCTCTAAGTGACCCTGTCGCCAAGTAAAAAAAATTGCACAGCAAATCAACTACTCAAAATGTTTACTTGCAGAATTTTTCCTTTTCATAGTCCCATCTCTCAATGCATGTCATAGTCCTCCCCTCTCTTTGCCCCATCCTTCACCTAATTACATAACCTGGGGGGTGGAGTCGGGAGCCGCTATCACAGAACTAAGGCCGAGCGGTGAGGAGAGAGACGCTCGGCCAGGTTCTGACAGCTGGCGCCTCTCTCTCTCCTCACCGCTTGGCCTTAGTTCTGTGACAGCGTTTCCCCCCACGGCTGAAGTGCTTCTTTCACTTCTCTTCGGATCCCCCGCTGCCTCTGCCCGGCAGAGCAGGGGAAATCCAGAGGAGAAGCTGAGCCCCCCTGTGCGTGGCCGAGCAGCAGAGGATCGGTACATATCAGCAGAGGATCAGTACATATGCGGGCAATAGTTCTGGTCACTCTGCTGACCACCATAGATTACACTCACCTTGGAGTGATTTCCTCTCACTTCCTCTTGTGGCTATTGGACACAAATTACACTCTCCCTTACTCTATGTAAAACTAAAAAAAAAACATTTTGGCTTCAGATCTACTTTAACATCTAAAATTTGAATCAGGGCTAGTTCACACCAGCTCCAGTGCGTTCCGGCCCGATTGGTGCCGGAACGCACTGGATGGCATTCCGTTTGGCTCACTTTGTTTTGGGGGCGTGTTGGTGCATTGAAATCCTTAGCACCGCAGCCATGCCCTCAGGCCGCAGTGTGATCGACTGCATTGGAATGCGTGGCATATCAGTACCAGCGTTCCGGTCCGCTGTGGTCAGAAAAAATGCTGCATGCATTATTTTTTTTCTGACTGCACCACCCGCCCCAAGACTAAGTGAGCCGACCAGAATTCGATCCAGTGCGTTTTCGGCACCAATCGTGCCAGAAGGCACTAGGGGCTGGTGCTAATTAGCCCTCAAACAAGGATTAGTTAGCACAATTTATAATTTTCTATTAATTTTTATTTCTGTTCTAATTCTATTTGGGGAGCCTGGAGTTGGGCTTGAAATTAATTGATGAATGAAAAGGTATGTGTCTTCACAAGTATATCACAAATGATCATATTGCAGAAGTATATCTGGTAATTTGTTATGTTATATTTAATAGCAAATTAAAATGTATGTGTGTGAAAGGCTTTTCACTTTAAATATCCTTTGTATTCTAAAATGGTTAATGTTCTTTACACTAAAATAAGGATAGGAAGGATTATATTCATTTCATTTCACCACTAAACAATCCTGCACATATCAGTGACACAACACTTGACAAAAGGTTGAAACAGGTAATACCCATCTAACACCTCGTCGTGTTGGTGTGTATATCAAATGACACCACAGTTCCCAAAAACTTTAAAGTCTGGTAAAACTATAGAATAGTAATGGTATCCACTTCATGGACTTTCCATGGTTACCTTTTAGTTATCATCATTCTTCTTTTATCTACAGTAAACTTTACATTTCTAACAATACATGTTTGAAATGAGGACATCTAATCTGTAACAATAGAAGGATTCTGCTTGTTGTTCCAACAGGTGTGTCTACAAATAGACCCTGCATGGCCTGAGGCAGAGATGTAACACAAAACTTTCATGGATTTCTGATATAAATTAGTAAAAATGCTTAGAGAAAGGAAATAAGAGGAGCAAACCAAAGCCAACTAGCACTCCACAACATAACATAATATCATGTAGCTCTTCCAAATAAATCAGGGAACTATCAATAAAACCACATAGAGGAAAAATATATTTTCCTATTTCTTCCCTAGTTCATTGTAAACAGTTTAGGTTACCTTCGTAAATTACCTCAAGACACTAATATTGACTCATTTTTCTTAAGCTGAAGAGACCAAATGGAACAATTTATGTTTTTGTGTATCAATATATATGGTGTAATGTACACCGTGCTGTAAGTCAAAGGGGTGTTAGAGTTCAGAGTTCGACGACGTCATTACACAAGGATGCAGATCAAATGTACTTCTAAGATATACTATTCTCTGACTGAATCCACATATTCTTTGTTATTTATGGTAGCAGGTACATTATTCTTAAATTAGACCTTATTTTAAAAAGGAAGGTGTACTCAGTGGTATAACAACAGCCATAGAAGCCCACGCAGCTACTATGGGGGTCTGGGGGTTAGAGGGGACCCCAATAGGGAGGCTGTTAAAGACAAATTTAGCATCTGAAATCTGTAAGCATTTGAGCAAAACACAGATCCAGTACTATATTATAAATGGTTGGAGAGGTTTCTGCTGACATTGGCACTATACCCACCTGTGACATTTTCAGTTAAGAAGAGTGGATGGATGTCAGACAATGAGGCAATGCCAATGACGGGAGGAAGTGAAGCTCACCTCTCTGCTACAGTTTATACAGGTCAACAGAAGAGAATCAACAATGAAGGTACTGTATAGCAGGGACGTGCGGTCAGGGGAGGCAGGTGAGGCAGAGCCTCACCTAGTTTTATGAAGAAAAAAGGTGTCAGCTTCAAGTCTGAAGCTGACAGCTTTTTCTCCATTCAGATCGGCTTGTTACAGGTTGCACAGCGGGCAAAGCCTCCACGCTGTGTAACCTGTCATGGACAGAGCGCTGCCTGTTAATTACAGGCAGCGCTGCATCCGGCCTTTGACAGGTAGTTAGGTTACACAGCAGAAGGTTTCACCCACTGCTTGCGTAACCTAACTTGGCGGACAAGAGCTGTAGCAACTTACGGTGGATCGCGGCTTTATGCCGACTACTCGGGTGAGTGGGCGGAGTCTCGAGGCGCGCCTGCGCATTGATACTGCCGGACGCCGTACGAGAGTGGGAGGAGTCCCACAGCGCGCCTGCGCAGTGGTGCGTACAGCTCTTTGTCCCGGCCGTGGGGTGTGAGGAGTATCACACATATATTTCTCTATAACTAGACAACCAGGACATATAATTGATTCTATATTATCTACAATGGGTTAACAGCACTCTCTCAACCTTGCAGCACTGCCTATACCTGCTCTCAATAGTAGTCTATGTCCGCCCTCTCTGTGCAGCAAGTAGCTTCTTCCTTCTGAGAGCCAAGCCTCGTTCTGAGGCTACTCTAGAGATCACATGACCTTCCTCCAGGAGGCAAGCCTCACTCTGAGACTTTACCCACTGATATCTTACCGGAAAGGTTTACTCAGAGTAAACCTTTCAGGGAGAAAATGCCTCTCTCGCGGACGTCAGGGAGCCGCTATCTAATAGAGGGAGACTCCCTGAACATCAGGGAAACTTGAGATCCCTGATAGCTACAGACCTCCAAACTACGTGTGGCCTTCAGATTGGCACAACAACAGTGTGCAGAGAGCTTCATGGAATGGGTTTCCATGGCCGAGCAGCTGCATCCAAGCCTTACATCACCAAGTGCAATGCAAAGCGTCAGCTGCAGTGGTGTAAAGCATGCTGCCACTGGACTCTAGAGAAGTGTTCTCTGGAGTGACGAATCACGCTTCTCTGTCTGGCAATCCGTTGGACGTGTCTGTGTTTGCGGTTGCCAGGAGAACGGTACTTGCCTGACTGCATTGTGCCAAGTGTAAAGTTTGGTGGAGGGGGATTATGGTGTGGGGTTGTTTTTTAGGGGTTCGGCTTGGCCCCTTAGTTCCAGTGAAGGGAACTCTTAAGACATCAGCATACTAAGACATTTTGGACAATTTCAAGCTCCCAACTTTGTGGGAACAGTTTGGGAATGGCCCCTTCCTGTTCCAACATGACTGCACACCAGTGCACAAAGCAAGGTCCATAAAGACATGGATGAGCGAGTTTGGAGTGGAGGAACTTGACTGACCTGTGCAGAGTCCTGACCTCAACACCATAGAACGCCTTTCGGATGAATTAGAGCGGAGACTGCGAGCCAGGCCTTCTCGTCCAACATCAGTACCTGACCTCACAAATGCACTTCTGGAAGAAAGGTCAAACATTCCCAGAGACACACTCCTAAACCTTGTGGACGCCTTCCCAGAAGAGTTGAAGCTGTTATAGCGGCAAAGGGTGGGCCAACTCAATATTGAACCCTACGGACTAAGCCTGGGATGCCATTATAGTTCATGTGCTTGTAAAAGCAGGTGTCCCAATACTTTTGGCAATATAGTGTATATATAAAAAGACAGCTGTCAAAAGTACATGTTATTCTTTCTTCCCTAGTAACCACAACTGCAGCTCACAGCCAAAACATCCCATCAACAACAGAAAACAAACAGTGGAAAAGTACTTAGTAAAATGCCCCTACATACTACAGGAAAATGCAGGATTTTTAAGTTCATTATTTCTATATGCCCCTATACATGAGCCCAGACTGTGATTCCATTTTCTTCCTGATGCCCCCTCTTCTGTATCCCCAGATACCCAGCCTGCAGTATCCACGTTCGTCCACATGGCGGTGCTGTGTGCTCGGTCCATAGACCGGCTGTAGGCGGGACGTAGCCCATAGGTGGATAAGGAGGCAGGGAGAGATCCTGGGCTTGTACCTCTCCTCATACCGGCCTCTCCCCAGGACAGCCCGAGACTGGCACACAGAGGAAGTGCGAGCCTCCATTCATACATTCCCTGGCTGGGAGTGCTGAGGGACAAGAAACTTTGCTGTATCTTCCTCTTTTAGTCTGTGTGGATTGGCTGCATACAATCTGTACTTTATGTCTGTGGATTGATCCTGGCAGAGAAGGATACAGTTAGAGGACATCGGATCTGTCCCTAGAAAGGTGAGCTCGTGTGGATGTCCCGGCAGATAAGTGTGTGTATTGTGAAGTGTGTGTATTGTATAGTGTGTGTGTGTGTGTGTGTGTGTGTGGTCGGCTTGTAGGATGCTTCTATTGTACGGTCCACGTGTCTCCAATCAGCACAAGAGTGATCCGAGTCCCCAACAAAAGGCAGAGCATTGTATGGGACCCAGGGAGTCCATCCATCCCACACTAATACCAGGAGCTTTTGTCTGACTAGACTTCAGACATGAGCCCCACGCAGAGTGTTGGATCGGGTCAGACATGAGCCACACGCATAGTGTTGGATCGGGTCAGACATGAGCCCCACGCAGAGTGTTGGATCGGGTCAGACATGAGCCCCATGCAGAGTGTTGGATCGGGTCACACATGAGCCCCACGCATAGTGTTGGATCGGGTCACACATGAGCCCCACGCATAATGTTGGATCGGGACACACATGAGCCCCACGCATAGTGTTGGATCGGGACACACATGAGCCCCACGCAGAGTGTTGGATCGGGTCACACATGAGCCCCACGCAGAGTGTTGGATCGGGTCACACATGAGCCCCACGCAGAGTGTTGGATCGGGTCACACATGAGCCCCACGCAGAGTGTTGGATCGGGTCACACATGAGCCACACGCAGAATGTTGGATCGGGTCACACATGAGCCACACGCAGAGTGTTGGATCGGGTCACACATGAGCCACACGCAGAGTGTTGAATCGGGTCAGACATGAGCCCCACGCAGAGCATTGTTTCTGGTCATCAATGAACAAAGTTTGCAGTTTGTCCGATCCCCTATAATGAGTTCTTAAGATCCGATCTGATTTCCCTTCATCCGCCTTTATATCTGAGTATTGGTTCTGAACACGTATTTATACACAATGTTGCAAGAAGGAGCAATGGAATAGAAATGTCTATAAACAATGCAACTGTTTATTTCTTGATTATATGTGAGTGCTGACGGCTGTTGTGAAGGGTCAGACTATAGAAATTGGGATCAGAGTTTTTATCGGGGCAATTGACTGAAACATATGGGATAAAGTAAGCCAGACAGAAGTGAAGGGACTAAAGTTGCAGGATGTCTTCTGAGCTGAGGCATTGATTACACATGAAATGATGACAAAGGAGAACTCCGGGCAAAACAAATCTTAACCCTTGCAGTGGGTCTACCTCCACACTGAAAGGGTTAAGTGCGGAGGGGGAACAAGGCAGAAGGGACCGGTTTAGGAGCCAGCTAAGATTGCGGTTTTAGTGAGTATATCTCGTTAATTTAGCTCCCTAGACAAAACGATCACTTAACCGTTTCAGTTTGAAGGTGGCCCACTGCAAGGGTTAAGATATCTGCCCAGAGTTCTTCTTTACAGAAGTTTGTGTGTGACTAGCTGATAGACGTTACAGGAGTCATGGGAAGTAAAGACCGACCATACACCGTGAGAACATCAGAACATTCAGAGGAAAACATTGGACGGCCGTGCCAATGCAACAAAAGTCAATTGAGGAATTAACTTTTGGAGAAGGAACAGGGCTGAACTTTTCAGCCAAAGACTGACTTGCCAATCAGCTGCATTCACTGTTCTGGTAATCTGACAGTGCTGGGTGTCGGGGCTCAGAATACAATACCCCAATGGGGAGATTTGTCTATCCATGCAGTTTAGCGAGGATTGCGGAATCTGTTAGATTTCTGAAGAAATCTATTAGTATATAGCCAGCTTTAGACTATAGAGATTGGCATGATCAGAGATGTTATTGGGGTAACTGACTCAGAGATAAGAAATCTACGAGTATATGGCCAGCTTTAGACTATAGAGATTGGCATCAGAGGTGTTATTGGGGTAACTGACTCAGAGATAAGAAATCTACGAGTATATGGCCAGCTTTAGACTATAGAGATTGGCATCAGAGGTGTTATTGGGGTAACTGACTCAGAGATAAGAAATCTACGAGTATATGGCCAGCTTTAGACTATAGAGATTGGCATCAGAGGTGTTATTGGGGTAACTGACTCTGAGATAAGAAATCTATTAGTATATGCCCAGCTTTAGATGAAAGAGATTGGCATCTGAAGTGTTATTGGAGTAACTGAATCAAAGTTAAGTCGTTTAATGAAATTAACTAAAGCTAGCCATACGCTGTTAGAATTTAAGGCAAATCAGAAATCGGACCAAATACTAACAACATGTGGCTCTGCCAGCTCAACAGCAGTCTATGACAAAAATTAGTTTTGTTGGAGTCCGGGTGAAAATTGTCAGCCAGACAGTGAGTGCAGCCAATCCGCTGTAGTCTCTGTTTGGTATTTGGACAGCAGCAGGCGCTGGCTGTCAGAATACAATTGCCTGGGGGTGCGGATTCCACCATCCAGTGTTTCGCATGGATGGAGGAATCTGTTTTGCTGGCCATACACGGATTGTCTTTTCTTGGTTCAGCCCGGGTGTACTGTATGGACAGGTTTACATTTCTGTCCTTTAGCCCACAAGCTGAATTAAAGAAATCTATTATATCGTATATGGCCAGCTATAGGCTATATGGATTGGGAGCAGAGGTGTTATTAGGGTAACTGACTTAAAGGAGAACTATGAAATGAGTGATTTCCACTCATCTCATAGTTCTAAGCCGACCTGTGACAATGAGACTGTCACAGGTCGGCTCAGTAGATCGGGAGGTGAGCGAACACATACAGGATTCCCTCACCTCTCGATCCTGTCCCGGCTCTCTGCCGTGACAGGGGGAGGGGCTGCATTCCCCTCTCACCGATCCGATCTGCCAGCGCTGACTGGCGGAACGGACGGGGGAGGGTGCGGGTACAGCTGGCTCTGCCTCTAGATAGGCAGAGCCAGCTGTCACTCACGCAGCTGGGCGGATCCCATCAAAAGAGTCGTGATCCGTCCCGGCTGCGGCGTCCCAGTATACCACGAGCTGTAGCTCGCGGTATACTGAGCTTAGGGTAACGGGAGGACGCTAGTTTGTGTCCTCCCGTTACCCTTTGGAGAACTATGGGGAAAAACACTGACCCCATAGTTCTCCTTTAAACATGTGAAATAAAGTAAGGCAGACAGAAGTGAAGGGGTTAAAGTTGCAGGATGTCTTCTGAGCTGAGACATAGATTACACATGAAATGAAATTGTGATCATTAAGGGCTTGTTCACACCAAATGCAGACCAGATCTGCATGAGTTTCTGCACACGCAGTGCAGTGGGTTGTGCCGCGTTTTTGCTGCGTTACGGGCCGTTTGTTAAAATATATTTTAGTTTAAAATGGGCTTTCAGTGCGTTCCAGGGTGTTTGCATGCGTTCGAGAGCAGGAAAAATAGGGCATGCTGCAGTTTTTTTACATGCTCTGGAACTGAACGCTGTGGTGTGAACTAGAGCCCAAAATACCATTGGAATACATTGGACGCAGTTTTGATCCGGTCTGTAACTGCTCTGCTCCTGGAATGCGCTTGGTGTGAACGAGACCTTAGAAGAGTTTATGTGAATGGCTGATAGACATTACAGGAGTCTTGGGAAGTACGACTTGTGTGGACTTTTCACACCTCTGCAGGGTGATTTCCCATCACCGGCTTTTAAAATCCAAACTCCTGCCTGGGATAGTCTGGCCAGGAATGTCTGTTACATACACATACTTCCCCGTGTGATGACTCGGGACAGAAGTGAAATACTAGCACTCCAAAGAATGTCTTGGAAAGCCACTAAACTGCTGGTCATTGTGAATCACCGGGGCGATGGGCTTTCTTGTTTACCTCTGGGAAAAGAGATCCATCTTTAAACTGACATCAGGCATGTTCTTGTGTCCCTGTAATGATGAGCAGCTTTTGTTTAGGAGCTCTTGGTGATACAAGTCTATCCAGCTTACACCCATTTTGTTTTTGTCTTGGATTTGATTTGTTAGATTAGTAAAAGTTACCAAGTAGTATGTAGTGTAAACACTTAACTGGAGCAGTGAAGTACTGTTAGTTCATTTGCTGATCAAACAGATCACATCTAAGGAGAATGTGGTGAGGTCATCGTTGTCTAGCCACAAGCATTAGTGATATTGTCAGCCTGCTGTTACCTGCGGTGAATTGTTGCTGCTACCCTCATAATAATTATTATTACTATTAGATTGTAAGCTCTCACGGGCAGGGTCATACTAACCATCTTGTTTTGTATTGTAACTGTAATGTCTTCCTTATATTGTAAAGCACTGTGCAAGCTGTTGGCCCCATATACAGTAAGTCCTGTATAATAAGAATAATAGTATATACATTTAATAACCTAACTAAACTAACATGATGGAATATGGTTTATACATTCATAAGCAGTAATTACTCACTGTTAGCAACCCTTACAACCGTACAAGTCATACATCTCTGTACATTACAATGACATTTTATTATACATAGCTATGTATTTATGCCTTTTACATGCAAGCTATCATGAGAACTTTTTACTGCCTTTGAAAATGTATACTTTAGCAGCGTTGTTTTATAGTTCCGCTGTATCTGTAACCCAGATGGTTTAAAGAAAAAACCCTGACTACATTTAAGTTTTTTTTTTTAGGAAATGGTTTTTAAATGTGCAAAGCAAGACAGCCAAAGGGTTAAATACCTAGCATGTTTGTGTCTTATCTTGTGTTTTTCATCAGACCTGTTGCCAGTATCAGTTGCTGTGTTTATTAGTTTATTTGTTTCTGCCTTATGTTAAAATTTTATTGCCACATTTTAGTATAGCCAAAGAACTCCAACATGTTCACAAGATTTTGTTTCAGAATCTTGGAAGCTGTCTTTTTTTTTTTTAATCTTACACCTCTGGCAAAAGAGGGTTGTAAACCAGATATGCCGCCCTTGGGTTTTTTTTCCTCCTTGAAGGGAACCTAAACATCTTTTTAAGTATTGCAAATTGAGTGTCTTTAACCTGGTTTTATTCCATATTGGCTTCAGCCTGCATTCACACCTTGGTGACATGAAATATGCATGTTTTCAGTGCTTTTTGTGTAGCGCGTTCAAGCAACAGGCGTT